TGTCTTAATTATATAAATAATAATAATAGAAAATGAAGATATAAATAGTTGATTCAGTCTAAGGAAATTTGGAAAATTATCTAATCTAAAGATATAAATGTTGGATGCAATTTCAGTAACTATTAAGTATTACCATTATACTGGGAATTAACGAATTTAAAATTTTATTATTACTAGTAATATCTTGAAAATAAAATTATGTGAAATATGTTGTTCGGAAGTAATTGTAAACATTTATTATTATTATGCATCATAGTAATTATAACATTTATTCGCTGGTCGTTAATTATCACTTTTTTTAATTCGTTTTATTCTGCATCTGTTAGATAAAACAATAAGAGAGATAACATTATAATTTGATTATAATAAATACTTCCAGCGGAGAATGTATTAGGAGTATAATATAAAACAAAAACGAATATAGAATTCATATAAAAGTGAAGAAAAGAGAAATAATATAAAAGTTACTAAATGAGATCAGTGGGTAATTTTTGTTTAGCCTGGTGGGCTGGTTTTCCGAGTGCACTTGGCTGCCTAAACGTTTGGATGGACGTCGATTTTGCCTTTATAATTGGAAGTTAATATCATTTAATGGTAGTTAATTATCACTTAATAAATATCGTTTTTTTATTTCATATTTACAGATCAATAATATTTCGTTTATTTGATCTTATATCGCAATGCCTCTAATTTAGTTCGAGCCTCTGCATTTCCACCGTCGGCTGCCCGCGTTGCTTTTGCACAATGGCATGGCGGCGTCGCCGTCCGGGTCGGTCATAAAGTAATGATGTCAAGCTGGCCATAAATCACACATATGCGTACTCATCATCGTAGATATTGTCGCGTTTGTATATATCGTTCTGTCGGAACGTGCCTCAATAATTTATATCAATATATACAGATGTTGTACATGTGCGTGACTATGAATAATATCCCGCTTGCATACATTGCGTGCGCGCTAATAAATTGAATAGTACGCCTTGAACGCCATCGTGAAAACGAAAAACCCGTTTCTGATTATTTCGATGTGTGTGTTCACGCTCCACACTCACGTTCTGCGCGATGGGTGGAGCATGTTAAAGGCCGTCCTATTTCTCCATGGTACCTGTGGTACACTAATATGAGAGATTTTTATTTTATTTACGGAATAAAACAAGAAGCAAAGCGCAAAAGGCGAACGCGGTATGATTTTTATAGCAGTACGCTTTTTCTGCGTCAGACGTAACATTCATCGTAATTTTTAAGTGAGACTAAATTTATGAACCCTTAAACTGAAATAGCCTAAGAACATAATTTCATGAATCACATTTCTTGAGATCCACTTCTGAACAACTCATATTTTAGTATTCAATTCAAAGCAATGTAATAAACGAACTGAAATCTGTAAAGATAAAGAATGCGTAATATATATGATACATTATGATATTATAAATTGTTATAATATTCAATATGGCATATGATTTTGATATATTATATGTTATTCAAATTAGTTAATGTTATTTATTTTTTGTATTTCTATTTATAAAATACCAAACATTTGTGTTTTTATTTATCTAATATAATTTATTATTTGCAGGTTTGGTTTAAAAATCGTCGAGCGAAATGCAGGCAGCAACTCCAGCAACAACAAAGCAGTTCCATCAAATCATCATCTGGGAACACGAATTCATCATCAACGAGACACCAGTCACAAAACTCTCAAAATCCAATGGCCAATCTTCATCTTCCGCTCCATCAAAGACTGGTTCTAATAACATAACAACACAACAACACAACTAACTCTCCTCAAAAAGGACAGCAGCAGCAGCACGCAAACACTTCGTCGCCTGGTCTATACCGATTACCCCATCGACGAGTGTTAGTCCACCCGTAAATGTTATTTGTAAAAAGGAATCATCGACAGGGGGAGGTGGTCTGACACCACTTACATACGATCATCCGCATCATCATCATAACTCTCATAATAACAAACATCTGTTACCGACATTAGGCTACAACGAAAAAGACCCACAATCCCAACACCAGCAAGATCACACGGGGAACAATGGATCTTTGGCCTACAATCGACTAGCGGCTGGAAATTTGACGCCTCTTGGTTCTAACTCTAGCGTTATGACGACACCATCACCTCCTATGACGCCGACTGTGAATACAAATAGTTTACCTTACACGCCGAATCACGATTATAATTTCCATTGGCATTCTGGTGACTACATAAAGAATTACGGCCACCATGCGTCCAATTATCCGTCGGCCGGTACTAACGCCCAGAGCCCGTATTATGGCCAAATGGAGTATTTTAATGCTGTCAGTGGTGGCCAAAGTATGGGCCCGATGGGTTCCTACAACGCGGCCGTTCAACCTAGCGGTGGTTACGGTAGTGGTAATTTCGGCTTGAGTGGTGTTCCCAGTATGGGAGCCGCGCAAGGTTTCAGCCCATCGGGACTCGAATATATGGCGAGTACAGGTGCTACCGATAAATATGGTATGAATATGGTGTAGGACGAAATTGCCTTCCTGCTGAATCTCTGCCGCCGATTTAACAAGAATGAAGTGGCACCAAAATTTCGACTGAGTTTGGCACGATTTTTAAGAAGTTTTGTGATGAAACAAAAGTGATTATTGTCGGACTTATCACGACGGAACATTGACTAGCATTTTAAGTTTATATAATCGAAAAATGATTTAAAAATATGTATGGAAGTGATTGTTTCACTAACGTTTAGTGACGTTGTTAACGGGTGACACTACAAAAGTCTTAATTTATTTTGTAGAAAATGAAATATTGAATCGTTTTAGGACGATTAATATTTTTATTTATGTTATGATTTTTAAAAGATCTGAAAGATTTTATTATATTTCATATAATTATTTATTAAACTATACTTCATTCATTCGATTTGTATTATAGTCGCTTATGTCATGAAAAAAAGCATTATATTAAGGCCGTGCCACTTATAGTCTAAATGATCTCTAAAACCATGCAAATGATAAAAATAAATAAACTCTGGCCTAACTGTCACGTGCCAAAGTAGGACTATGCAATGAGATGCAGGGGCTTGAAATATATTAAATTTGATGCAATTAGTAAATAATTATAAATATTCTAATATTGTATAAATTCTCAAAAAATCTTAGTTTATATTGCGTGTATATAATAATGTATCTCAGTGTATTTGTAAATCAAATCCAGTTTCAATTTTTATATATTAATTTTGAAACGTTTGCCATATCAGTAATTATATTTGTTATAGGAAATAAAATTGTAAATAGCATATAGTAAAAATTTAGTAATATTCATATGAAAACACATATCTCTAAAGTTGCTGGTACAAATTAGTAATTTCTTGGATTTTATATTAAATTCTGTTTTACAGCTTGTAATCTTTGTATATTGAATTCAATTGTTACTTATTACTTTTTTTTTGTTTTGGTAAATTTACTGTTTAAAGCAATCTATCAAATGCTTGTAATATTTGAATTATAATTTATCCTATTATTAAACTCACAGTAACCATAAATAAAATTTTATTGCAAGACGAAATAATTCTTTAATTATTATAGGCATTTGATAATTTTAGATTAAAGTGAATTCTGCGCAAATAAATTGTACTTGAATTAATGTCATATGGAATGCGCAATGAATCTATGAAGTTGAAACTTAGGATTTTTGATAAAAAATATTAAAATTAGACACAAGAATACAGAATGTCAATTTTAATTGTGATGTGTACAAATTCAGAGAACTACTATCTCTTATCATTTCTAATCAGCTCGTTTCATATGAATATTAATCTGTAATAAGGAGTCCCCATGCATAATTGTTCATATCCCCTGTACATAGTACGTGAAACGATAAATGTAACAAACGATTTTAGAGTGGTTGATTGTCGCTGTTGTTTTACAAATACAGAAAATCAAATTTATTCTATTTGGATGCATTTGTATTTTGAAAAATGAAAATAAATTATGATATATTATAACATATTGTGTGTGTACACAATATGGAATATAACGATTATTGTAAATAAATATATCTGAAATATTAATAATGATATTGATAAAAATGTAAAAATTAATTGGTGTTATTATTTCAATAATGTTCTTACATTATGCATTGCTTGTTTTCAACACTTTTAGTCCGGTTCAGATTTATAAAATCTAGTTTTTTTTGGTACCATATTTATTGTTAGTTCAAAAACGTTCACAAATTCTTAGATTATCAACGTATGCACTTTTTTGAATTATTGATCTACATGCAATATCGATATTTTGCAAATTATATATTCAAATAAGAGTAAGTTCACAAAAAAACTTCATTATTGTATGCAGAAACAACCAAAGCCAAAATTTTAGCAGAGGGGCAAGTTTAAATGAACCTTACCAGAAATTCAATAGGTTTCAATGAAATTGAAATTTTTTTTGATACCTATATATATTTTTTTAAAAATACTTAAGTTAAGTATTCAATAACGATATTAATAAAACCAAGCATCTAAAATATAAACAAATTGAAATCTTAATTTCCTTCAACAGATGTCTACAGTAAATATTCTTACAATTAGTACATAAATCGCCTGGTGAATACAGTGAAAATAAATTTTAAAGTCATTTTTTAATTGTGCAGCTACTTTCTTCTGCTACTTTTAATTCAGCAAGTTACAGATAAACTTCAAAGTGATTATGTATGTAAGATTTAAATTGATAATAATTTTGATAAAAATGGATCAGTTTTTTTATGAAACATGTGTGTATTAACAAGCAACAGGTAACAAGTTTTCGGTATTAAAAAATTGAAGAAGTTGATGGATTTTTTCATATGTGAGATGTTAATATAACATATGTATAAGTGCCACTTTATCTCTGATTTATTTCTAAATTTATAAATAAGTTACTCGTAATCACTCATACACACACGCATACACACACACACACACACACACATATATATATATATATATATATATATATATATATACATGGTCTGTTCAAAAAGTACCCGGAATTACTAATAATTAAATTTCGCGGGTCTGGAGTGTCTGATTGTCAAAATTTTTTTTTTATTGTGTTGGTATACATACCAATAAAGTATGATGAAATTTTCAGCTATATTCACTGTTTACTTTGTCTGTGGTAGTCGCTAAGGTTCGACGTGTTTTTCTGAGCTCGGCGATTTTTACAATGGAAGAATTGAAAAAGTCAAAGAATTTGTATTAAATTTTGCGTAAAAAATGAAATAAAGTGTTGCAAAGTGCAAAAATTCACCAGATATGGCTCCGTGTGACTTTTTCCTATTCCCAAAGTTGAAGAGACCCATGAAAGGACGGCGGTTTTCCTCGATTGAAGAAAATCGCCGAGAGTGCTCAAGGACATATCAAAAAGTGAATATCAAGGGTGCTTCGAAAATTGGAAAAAACGCTGGCATAAGTGTATTATATCTGGGGGGGACTACTTTGAAGGGGACCACATTAATGTAGACGAATAAATAAATATTTTTTTGAAAAAACGAAAATTACGAAAACTTTTTGAACAGACCTCGTATATATATTTATATACTATATTACATATGTAGTATAGTTATATATACGACGTTTTTTCAATTATTTAACAGCTTCGAAATAAAATACATTTTTAATTATAATTATGCAGTTTCGAAAACAAAGTTCGTTTTATAATTCAGCTAAAAAGTAACAAAAGTAATAACAATACAATTACAACACTAAACGTTAAATAATCAAGTTCTATATACGAAATGTTAATTACTTGTGTTGACTAACTTTTTTTTCGTTTTTTTTGGTACTTTTATATGGCTGTCAAAACTTAATAAATTGCCATAAGCCAGACTTTTCTCTTAATTTGCTGATCATTTACAACCATCTTCCCCCGCTTTTTTCTTCATTGTGATTGTGACACATCTAGTGAAGTCTAAACCTATACATCAGTATACCTTTTACTCACATGTGATTTCCTAACCTAAAAATGTTAAATTATTAGTTTTAAAATGTGCGTTTGTTTGTTTTTTATTTAATTTGTGTAGTTTAGTTTTTTCTTTGGTCATAAAATTTGTTGTTTCATATGTTAAAAGTGACAACAAATTGTTGTCATATAAACATTAAAGACTTACTATATTTGAAAATTGTCTCATTTTGAGGTTATTATTGTCTAAAACACTTGATCAGTTTAGAGATCCGGTTATTGTCTAAAATACTTGAGCATTTAGAGTCAAAACTTTAGACAGTTCGTGACTACCAACTCATGTGATTTTTCAACATAAGAGACAAGTAACGTAACATAGCTATTTTATCCGAAATAGGTGCCTAATATTTGTTATCAGTGAAGACAGACAATACTTAGTTCTTAGTGACTCATCAGCCAAAGCAGTTCATGGCAATAACATATAACAAAGGAAAAGATTTATTGAGACTTAATAATTATATAATTAGCGAAAGTTAATGATTTTCTTTTATAAGAAAAGCTGCACTATGGTAAGTAACTATTTTATATATATATATATATATATATATATATATATATATATATATATATATACAATCCTATTAAAAATCTACGAGAAAAACTTAGTATGTATCATCAGAAATTATATTTTCCGTATTCAAAATATCTAACATTACATAAATACCGCCCTTGGAAACTAATGATTCTATCATGGATATTTAATCATTTTGTTGGTTTAGTATTACAATAGAAATCTACTTGAAAATTTGGTCACGTGTGTAGGGTGTTGCGACTGATGGTCTGATGAAAATGAATTTCATGGCTTCATCTTACTCGATTAGTAATGATGAACAGGGTAGACCAACGATTTTTAATTTAATTAAAATTTAAAATCCAAAGTAAAAGTAATGCAAAACTTTAAGATGAATATCAAATAGTTGGATAACAAAAGAAATAATCTTTGTAAATGTATTTACATGTTAATATTTGTAAATTTTCAATTTATTAAATTAGATAAAAAATAAAATATAAATTTTGAATTTCTCAGAAAAATATAAGTTCGAAATACCAAAAGTCTTTAATTTTATATATACAATTATTTGATAAAATACATTTCTTTTAAATTTATTTAGAAAATCGAGACGATTCGCGGGTTGATCATAATCAAATAATTTTAAATTTTCAATTATTGCTAACTAATGTGTAATATTAATATTTGAAACATAATGTGCGATTTATTCTATTGAGCAAATCATGCCGGAAGAGCAAACTAACTTTTCATTTTTAAACATAACACTAAGTTGGATTTTTTAAATTTTAATTTAATTTGATTTTTCATTATTTACAATATTCAATATTGCATCGTCGATTTCTCCTTAGTGATATTGTAAAGACCGAATTGTTTTCATCTTTACCTTACCATTTTAAAAGTATTGTCCAAAGAGCTGTAAAATGTGCAAAGAAATTACATATTTCTTTAACTATATTAAAAAAAAACTAATTATATTTGTATTTGTATCATTTTTGCATAGTTAATAATTAATTTA